AGGCTCTCCAGAAACCGAAGGGACACCCTCACCCCCAGACGCAGCACCCCCAGACTCCGCACCAGCACCCCCAGACTCCGCACGACCAGTACCAGCCCCCGGAAGACAAGAGTCCTCTGCAACCCGCGGCTCAGCTCCAACTCCAGCACCCCCAGAACCAGAGACCTGTACAGGGACAGTCGCAGGACCAACCTCCCGAGAGGGAGCACCTGCAGGAGGCGGCGAGGAAGACTGTGGGGAGGGAGGCTGTACAGGGGGGGCTACCGAAGGGGGAGGGCTAGCCTGAGACACACCAGACGGGGCTGGACCAGGGGGGGGAGGCTGTACCGGGGGAGCAGGCGGGGGAGCGGCGGTCAGGAAGAGAGGGGGGGGAGGGACCGGGAGACCTCGACTGGGGTACCTGACGTAGTAGGGGGTGGACTCCTCGAAACGGACGTCACGGGAGTCAAAGAACCGGTGAGAGGGAGGGTGGTAAAAGGTGAAGTCAGAGGAGTCCTCGGGGAAACCAAGGAAGACACAAGGAACGGCGCGAGGCGAGAGCTTGTCCGCGGAGGTGTCGCGGACAAGAGCCAAGCACCCCCAGACACGAAACCTCGACGCGACACCAGGGGACCCTGTCCAAAGACTGGTCGGTGAAGCCTCCGGCCGAGAGACGCGTGGCCAGAGGTTCAGCTGGTGCGCGGCGTACCTGACCGCGTATGGCCACAGGAAATGGGGGGCACGGGCGTGAGTCAAGGAGGTGCGGGCAATCTCCATGACCAGGCCTATGCGACGCTTTACAACCCCATTTTGCTGTGGGGACTCCGGAAGCGTCCAGGACTGACGAATGCCCTGTTCGCGACAGAATCCAGCGAGAATGCCGGAGCGAAACTCGCCCCCGCGGTCGGAGTGGAGACAGCTGACACGACGACCACGAGTGTCCTGGGTGGTAAGCAACCACCTGATCAGCGTAGAAGTCACCTCAGACTTCCTCGCCAGGGGGAACACTGTGGTGTAGCGGGAGTAGTCGTCAACAACCACAAAAAAGAAACGCACACGCCCAGGGCCAGGGCGAGGAGAGGGGCCCCAGACGTCCAAGTGCAGCGTCTCAAAAGGCTCGGTGGCCAGACGAAGGGAGGAGGAGTGAGGGGTGGCGCGCAGCCTACCCTCGACGCAAGGACCGCACGGTGGTGCAAGGGACGGCGGCAGCGACGGCAAGACACGCGGGAGACCTAAGACAAGACGCTGACGAGACATAGCGCGAAGACGAGGAGGAGAAGGGTGCCCCAGCCGGTGGTGCCACAAAACGGTGGGGTGGGCAAGCGACCGACAGGAGCACGACGCAGCGACCTAACTAGACGGAGGAACCTGACAAGACACAGCTACCTGGGGGGACGGAGCAACCTGGTGAGACGCGAGGACTCGAACGGGGGGCAAAACAGGGGCCGGGGGCAGGAGGGGCGGCTGTGGCTGCGGCTGCGGCTGCTGCTGCTGCTGCAGTCGCTGCTGAGCGCGCGGGCCAGTGTGAAGAGTGTATAGACTGGAGCCCGGCTCAGCAGCAAAAGTGGCGAGGGGCTGGTAAGAGTCCCCGTCAACACACACCGCAGTCTCTCCAGAAGGCTCAAACCACACACCCACGTGCTGACTCACGAGGGGTCGCACGCCCACCAAGTTCCGGGAGAACGAGGGGACGTGAAACCCAGTGAGAGACCCAGAAGGAGCAGCCGGACACGGCAAGGTGGTAGTGTGACGCGCGGTGACTGGTCCCGAAGTGGGATCAGCCAGCGCCACAGAAACAGGCGCAGGAAGAGGCGTAAGTGTCGTGCTGTCACGAAAGAAGCAGTGAGAGGCTCCAGAGTCCAGCGTGAACGACAGCGAACCGTCCTCTGAGGTAGCCGCTGGACTAGAGTCTACACAAGAACCTACACTAGCAACAGGCAACTGAGCAAGGCTAGCACCTAAGCTAACAACACCAGAGTAAACAGAGTCAGAAACACTAGAGTCAACAACAGCATACATAGCATGGGGACTACCAATCAGATCAACTAACTGCTCAGCAGACATGCCCCACAGAGCGGAGCCGTAACGCTGAACAAGAGGCAGCCAGTCAGGGGCAGGAGCACCAACCCCGTAGACCAAACGAACCGTGTCAGTGAGCTGAGCAAAGCACTGACCAGGGGGGTGAAACCGGCCACAAGGGTGGCCACGACGAGTGCCTGTCAGAACCTGGTAGGTGCAGGGAGTGTAAGCAGCACCGCGCTGGGTCTGACGCAGCCCCGACCCTGGAGCCAGCTGCTGCCGCTGCTGCGGCTGAGGCTGCTGGGAGGAGAGGGGCTGCTGGTGCTGCAGAAGCTGCTGCTGACGCTGAGCCTGGTACCACGCCGCTGCTCCACCAACCGGGGCAGGAAGTACAGGAGGCGACTGACGAACTCGGGCGTCGCCACCACCAGCAGGCGCAGTGGAGTCACCAGTCACTGCACGAGGCGCCTCTCCAGGCCCTGAACCTCCACCGCCGCCAGGCGCAACGCCACCTCCACTACCTCCGCCTCCACCTCCACTACCACCACCAGAACCGCCTTTCTTGCCACTCCTACCGCGGGACCGCGACGCAGTCGTAACAGCAGCTGCAGTCGCGTCAGTAGCGGCAGTGGCAAGTGAGGCAGTAAAGGTGGGTAACTGCGGGACTGTGCACCCGTGGAAGAGTGGGGGGGCACAGCACCAGAGGCAGCGGCTACCGAGCGAAGGTTGCTCTCGACGTCCTTGAGTGCAGACTCAAGGACCTCGACGGTGAGCTCACTAGGGTGCTTCAGCAGAAGCGCGTCGCGAACGGAGGCAAGGCGGTCAGGGAGGCTAGTGGCGATGAAATAGATAGTAATCGCCATAGGGGGAGGAAGCAGTGCAAGCTGTGCCTCAGTGCAAGCAGCGCGGTAACTAGCGTCGAGCGAGCGGAGGTGAGCGATCAAGTCAGCAGAGCGCTCAAAAGACGCTAGGTCAGGAAACAGGAACGGGAGGAACAGGCGGCCAAGAGAGACAGCAGCGGGAGTAGAGTAGCGGGCCTTAATCGCAGTGAGGTACTCAGCAGCGGTGCGAACCTGAGTGAAGTGAACCTCCTCAGACTCAGGGAGGAGGCTGCTGAGCGCGATGCAGGCCGCAGCGTCACGTGACGTCCAAGCCGTCTGGTCAGCTCGCTGAGTGGCAAAGCGGGCTCTAGCGGCGTCGTCAGGGGCAGGTCCTAAAGGCGTAGGGTCGGGGGGCGCAGGTAGGGCACCAGTAGCGTGCGCCCAGAGGGTCTCGCCTGCCTGGACCTGACTCTCTAACAGACGGCGAGCACGAAGAAGCCAGACGGAAAAATCAAGAGGTCTACCGTCAGCGTCGAAACGAAGGACACGCTGAGTCGCCATAGTGAAAACGAACGCGAACGGAGAGGGAGGGGACAGCAGTAGGTGAGAGGCAAATTAGGGTTCGGCGGTACTCTGGGACAGGGGAGGAGCGGACGCCACAGCGGGCGTGACAGCGGGAGGTAACAGGGGACTAAGCAGCGGGGAACGGGAACGGGCGCAGCGGCGGGCGATGGCAGCGCGCTCGGCAGCAGGGGCCAGCAGCGCGCGCAGCGGGCGACGGCAGGGGGCGCAGCGGCGACGCGCGCAGCGGCGGGCGACGACGGCGGGGCCGCGGCGAGGCGCGCAGGGGGCGGGCGACGGCGGCAGGCGCGGCGGCGACGAGCGCGGTCGCGAGCGACAGTGGCGGGCGCTGCGGGGACGGGTGACGCGACGGGGGGAGAGGGCGGGAGCGACGGGACAGGGGGAGGGCGACGCAACGGGGGGAAAGGGGCGGGTGCGACGGGACAGGGGGAGGGCGACGCGACGGGGGGAAGGAGCGGACGCGACTCGACGGGGGGAGCGCGACGCGACAGGGGGAAAGGGACGGGCGCGACTCGAGGGGGGGGGAAGGCGACGCGACGGGGGGGCGGGCTACGTTACGAACGAGAGCGTGGCTCGTTGCTAGGCTCGGTAACAGCTGGAACGATACGAACGAGAGCGTGGCTCGGCGCTAGGCTCGGTAACAACGAGAAGGAGACGAACGAGAGCTAGGATCAGGCTCGGGTGGTACGAACGGAGAACGGCGGAACGGGATCCCACAGGATCCTAACCTAACTGATACCATGTCAGAATGAAGAATGGATGATGCATTGATGTTGGTTGGGGTACATATAGCTAACCCTAACTTTTGTACCCCCTAAGACAAACCTCACTATAGGCTACAACATTTGACATATATATATTAGCTTGTACTCTCTTGAACTGGCCTTGTGGCCTCTTGTTTGTGCTCAGACTGGTGGTGACGTTGTGATCCACCCTGAGCTCTGTTTGCTCTCTTGCTTGTGACTGGTCTTGTGACCTTAGGTTGTGTTTTGTTGCTTGGCATTCCCCACTTAGGCTATGGGGGTGTGTCAAATGTTATAGCCTCTAGTGGGACATGCTATATGGGGTACAAACAGTTAGGGTTAGGCATTTGTACCCCAACACAGTCAATCTAACTCATTCCGCTGTTTTCACTTTGTAAGAGGTTTGACTAAGGTTGGTTGGGGTACATAAACCTAACCCTAACTGTTGTACCCCATATGACACACATCACAATGACTACAACATCTGACAGGCAGGGGGGGGGGGAAGGGGGTTAGACCCTGTCCAGGGTATAAACTTGCACTTGGCATTAGTGTGACATATTACATTACACGGATTGATCAGGGTAGATATCGTACAAGGGAAATATACACTTGATAAAATAAGCCCTGGTGGTGACAACTGTGATTTTTCAGCGTGCCCCACAACCTAAGGACCTGGGTTGGTTATGTACTGCGTACATAACGCCTAGTGAAAGGAAGATTTTCTACCCCTACTAGGGGCATTTACCAGTACACCCTAGATTTCTTCTATGCAATAGGCAATTCTCATGCCACACCACTTGTGCAGACAAGCGCGCCTATGCAGTGCAGTTGGAAGCAAGGCACAGTGGATGCACTACTTGGTGCGGCCCAGCTGGGCGAGCCATGGCAGCAGCGCTTGCTGCACCGCCACGGGCTGGTCGTCGTGGGGGCAGTGGCCGCACAGGGGGAGTGTGAGCATGGTGGTGAGCGGGCGGTGCTGCGGCAGCTGCGAGAAGAAGCGCCCCACGGGGCCGTCCAGCGGCGTGAAGGGGTCCTGCTCGCCCCACAGCAGCAGCAGCGGCGCCTCGATTTGTGGCAGCAGGTGCTCCGGGCGCGGGCCAGGCGGGCCCGTGAGCACCGCCGTGAACACGTGCAGCGCCCCGGGGTCCTCTGCTGGCGCACATATCAGCTGCGATGGGGGAAGGGGAGGCAGGGCGAGGGGTGCAGAACGTTTAGATAGCACACACAGCTGCAGTGGTGAACCATGCATATGCGGCAAACAGGCAGAAGAAATTATAAGTGACCACAAGGTGCAATGCGATACTTTTTGGCACACATCCCAATGAAGTACCAGCGCATGCATGTCCGCATCATGATCTGCAGGCATCACCACCATTATCACCATCACCATGCACGCATGGCAGCAGCACCACCGCCATTGCCATCGCCATCAATATCAACATCAGCATCAACATCAACATCAGCACCATCGCCTGCACGAGCATCAACTGCACGAGCTCGGCATCACCTGCACGAGCTCATCATCGACGGCATCGGGGTTGCTGTACACCGCTCGCAGCACCGATGCAACGTTGTCCCTGCCCACGGGGAGAGACGGGGGAGGGGGATGCAATAGACAAGGTGGACCGTGAGGCGGATTGGATGGGCGGCTGGCAAGTGAGGATGGCAGATTGGCGCTCAGAAGTGGGACAGAGCTGACCTGGTGCGGACGCGGTTGAAGATGGCGGAGGCGAGGGGAGGGATGGAGAGGAGGCAGTCGATGAGGAGGAAGAAGGGCAGCGCGAGGCGGATGCGCCAGTCGTCCTCAATGGCCTTGTTGTTCAGCCCGCCCGCACAGTTCAGCAGCACCACCCCCGCCACCTCCTCGCCCGGCAGCGCTGCAGCGAGCAGAGAGAGCGGTTAGTGGTGAGGGAATATGAGGGTGAGCAGTGGCGCTTGCAATAGCCAATTTGTGTGATGGTTGTGCAATAGCCGATTTGTGTGATGGTTGTGCATGATACGACGGGCAAGTGGCCGATGGAAACGTAACGGCATGGGAGGGATGCAACGCACATGTGAGGTGCTGTCAGGCTTCCCCACGCCTCACACATGCCCATGCCCCACACGCCCATGCCCCACACGCCCATGCCCCACACCTGCCTGTATCCACCACCCTGCCATGCTCCCACCATCCCCCCGGGTTCAACCTCGTCACAACCACCCTCCCTTCCCCCCACCTCCATCCCATTGCGTGACCTTCCTGCTGCTGTGGCCCTCACAGCACCTCTGCCTGCCGCACTCTCCCCTCCTGGGCTCACACGCGCATTCCTCATTCTCACTCTGCAAGGTCTCCTCTGTTCGATAAAACAGACAGTTTGAGGGAAGAGACAGGCAAACCCTAAAACGAACACAGAGGAGGAGGGCAGTGAAGGGGCAAACCGGCAGCAGCAGCAAGGGCAACGAGGCTGCCGATGGAGTTGCCCACCAGCACCACTCTGCACTGCACCACTTCGGATACGAAGTCCTGCAGCATCTGCTAGGAGGACAGACATAGGAGAGGGGGTATGGGAGATGTCGGGGAGAATGAGGGGGAAGCATAGGGGGAAGCATAGGGGGAAGCATAGGGGGAAGCATAGGGGGAAGCATAGGGGGAAGCATAGGGGGGAGCATAGAGGGGAGCAAGGGGCGAAGGCATGGGATGGGAGGGCAGGCAAGGGAGGGTAGGCATGGCATGTGTGAGGAGCGAGTTGGAGGCAGGCATGCGGTGCGTCACCTGCGCCCACGCGTCGATGGTGTAGTCCCCGCCGTGCGGCTTGTCGGAGGCGCCCAGCCCCAGCAGGTCCAGCGCCACCACCCTCATGCCCGCCCCCGCCACCGCCGCTGCCGTTCTGCCAAGGGGAACGGGGGAGAGGCGGGGCAGGAGACGAGGCGGAGCAATCAATCGAATAGACTGCGCCAACGCCCCTCACAGGCGCTGCCCCTCACCTGCGCCACAACCCCTCACCTGCGCCAGTTGCGCCAGTGCCCCTCACTTGCGCCAGTGCCCCTTACCTGCGCCAGTGGCCGTAGGGAAGACGGGAGGGAAGACGGGAGGTGGTCCAGTCCAGTGTGCGGAGGGAAGGAGGGAAGAAGCGGGGACGGAGAAGAGGAGGCGGAGCAAGGTGGAGCAAGGTGGAGCAAGGTGGAGCAAGGTGGAGCAAGGTGGAGCAAGGTGGAGCAAGGTGGAGCATGATAGCAGGACGATCAAAATGCGTAGACTGTGCCGCCCCTCACCCGCGCCGCCCCTCACCTGCGCGCCTCTCACCTGCGCGCCTCTCACCTGCGCGCCTCTCACCTGCGCGCCTCTCACCTGCGCGCCTCTCACCTGCGCGCCCCTCCTGCGCCACCCCTCACCTGCGCCAGTGGCCGATGGAAGCGCCGAAGCCGTGCACCAACACCACGGCGGGCGCGTCCTCTCTCCCCCGCCAACCCCCCTCGCCGCTCTCCCCCGCGCCCTCGCCGCCGGCGCGGGGTGGAATGTCACAGTAGTTGATACTCGCGCCGCGCCACGTCCACCGCCGCTGGTGGGAGAGGATGAGGGCGAGACCCGCGGAGACATCATCGCAGGCGGGCGCACGCGCGCCGCCAGTGGAGGGGTCCGCCGAGTCACCCTCACGGGCGGCGGCGGCTGCGGCATCCGCGGCGGCTTGCGGGTCGCCGCCAATCAGAGCCGCTGTGCCGGCGGCGGCGAACGCGCGCTGCTGCGATTCGCCAGGCCGACTGTCGCTTGGCGCGTCGGCGGGTCGTTCGCCATGCGACGCGCACACGACACGCTGCGACAGGCGACGAAGGAACACTCGAGGCCGCAAGGGCCGCGCGGTGCAGAGCGGTGCAGCACAGAGGGCGGAATGAAAGGCGCGAAACGGCGGAAGCGTGGGTGCGAGGGAGGCCATGAGGATGGTGGCGTGCGAGGGACGGTGCTCAAGGGGCGGAGCCCGAGGCGAATGTTGGCTGGCGAAGTGGGTCGGGTTGCAGCCTTTGTTCGCAAAACACTCGCTTCGTTTCGCAAGGCCCCTTGTACGTACTTGCCTCAAACAATTTACTTTCCTGCATGCCAGGTACTCTTGAATGGGAAACAGCACTATGAGAGAAGCCTCTCACATGCCTGCCCTAATATCGTGACACCGCTTCTCTCAAATCAGTGTCCTTAGCTCAATCTCCCTTTGCTTCTGCCCACTCTCGCTCACCTTCCTCCCTCACACCGCGCGCACCCCTCGCTGCGCCATCCCGCCGCTCTTCTCCTGCGCGCGTCGGCCACCTCGCCGCACTGCGCGCTGCATCGCGTCGCCCCATCGCTGGGTCGTTGCCCGTCCGCGCTCGCTCAACCGCCCACCGCGTGAGCCGGTAAGGCGATGCTTCATCCAGGGCGGGGCAGTGGGAACGGCAAAACATGCTCTCGCCTCTCCTCTTTCCCTGCTCCTCTTGCTCTCCCTCCGCGCGCACCGCGCGCACTCCCGCCGCGAACTCTCTCGAAATGCCGGTCGCTCGATCCAATACCCAATTCCTCCTCTGGTGACTTTCCCGTGCTGCCGCGCGTCTCCGCAGGCCTGTCGTCGCCCGCTGGAAGCGAGCAGCACGTAGCGGCCAAGGCGGGGGGAAGGGCGAGCGCGGAGGCGGCGATGGCGGTGCTGGTGGAGACGAGCGTGGGCGAGATGGTGATCGACCTGCACACGGACCTCTGCCCGCTCGCCTCCAAAAACTTCCTCAAACTCGCCAAGTCAGTCACCCTCGCCAAGTCAGTCACCCTCGCCAAGTCAGTCGCCCTCGCCAAGTCAGTCGCCCTCGCCAAGTCAGTCGCCCTCGCCAAGTCAGTCGCCCTCGCCAAGTAAGTCACCCTCGCCAAGTCAGTCACCCTCGCACCCTCTTAACGCTTTCTGCATCACTCTATCCCTAGTCACTATCATTCCGTCCTAACGTAATAAGTGATGGAAGGTCGCAGGGGGGAAATCCTGTGGGAGTGTCTAGAAGGCTTGAGATGAGGTGAGGATGAGCACGGCACGTGTCAGGGGCGGCCCGCCCCACCCCGCCGTAGGGCGGCCTTGCTGGCGCATGGCCCAGGCCTGGCGGGTCGCATGGCCGCTGAGGTCGCATGGCCGCTGAGGTCGCATGGCCGCATGGTTGAGTGTTGTTGTCTTTGACTTGAATCAATTTTACTAAAGGGTTGAGCTTTCGTCTGCGCACCCCCTTTTTCTCCACCCGTTTTGACCACGCCCTCGCATAACCTTTACCCTTTGCTGACATACACAATGAATCAAGTGCTTAGGGCTCTAAAATTTGACCCAAATTTTACCCATCCTCATCTCAAGCGGCAACACCCCTTCCCCCTTCCCCCCCCCCCCCCCCTCCAGGATGAAGTACTACAACCACTGTGTCTTCCACCGCGTGCACCGTGACTTCATCGTGCAGACCGGCGACCCCACCGCCACTAAAGCTGGCGGTGACTCCGTTTACAAGTGCGTGCGGGGGCTGGGGGGGGGGGGGGGCTGAGGTGAGGGGCAAGGAGGGTTTGAGCTGAAGGGTCGGCTCCCAATTACAGGTAGGCTTGAGAATGCATGAGGTAGCACCGTATCGTCCAACTGGTCAAGCAGTCTATTCTAATCAAACCGATATTGGGGGTGTAGTGGTTTAAGGACCGCCTAGCCTATTGTGGTCGAACCTTTTCCGGCCCGGGTCGAACAATGTGGAGTTCAGCCGGAAGTGCTCCGGGCTTGGTTGGGCAACCGCATTTGGGTTTGGCGAAGACTTGAAACTCCGACTGAGGCTCGGCGTCGCTGGCCTGGAACCCACTCGAACGGCTCCAACAGCCAGCTCAACTCCAACTCAACTTGCAAACTGAAGAATTAGTACCAAACCGGTTTGGGTCGATCCGAACTCGGGGTTCAGAGTACTATACTCAAGTGTAGGTTGTCAAACATTGTGCGCCCACGTGCGCCCTCGTGCGCCCGCGCGCTGCCCTTTGCAGGGTACTGCGGACCCTGGAGCTGGAGCTGCTGCTGGTGCTGCGGACCCTGGCGCTGGAGCTGCTGCTGGTGCTGCGGACCCTGGAGCTGGAGCTGCTACTGGCGCTGCGGACCCGGGAGCTGGAGCTGCTGCTGGTACTGCGGACCCTGGAGCTGGAGCTGCTGCTGGTGCTGCGGACCCTGGAGCTGGAGCTGCTGCTGGTGCTGCGGACCCTGGCGCTGGAGCTGCTGCTGGTGCTGCGGACCCTGGAGCTGGTGCTGCTGGAGCTGCCGCGGGTGCTGGTGCCGTCTCTCCTGGTTCTGGAGTCACTGAGCGGCCCCGACCGTACTTCGTTCCGCTTCTCCAGCAGGTTCTTGGTCAGCCTCCTCCTCCTTGTCCTGCTCCCTCCTTAGAGTGTCCTCCGCCTGTCCCGTCGCAGTCGCAGTTACCGCCTCCCTCGCCGCTCCCCGGTCCTTCTCCTTACACTGGTCCCACAGTCGGAGATCTTACGGAGCGTCGTGAGCCTGAGTCTCGCCCTGCGTCGCCTGCGTCTCGCTCTGCGTCGCCTGTCCGTGCTGCTCGCGCTAGTGGTCGTGGGGCGTGTCCCGCGTGAGCGTCCTCCTCCTGTCCCTGGCACTCACTACATGACTCTGCGTCCCTCCACTGCTCCTCAGCGTGTCCTTCTGCCGTCTCCTCCTGCGTCCTCTCTTCCTGAGCTTCCTGACCCGGAGTCTGACTCCCTTCGTGCTGCCCGTCCTACTGTCACGCGTCTCCTTGCTACTGTTGTCACTGACCCTACCTTTGAGTCCTCTGCTGCGTCTGCTCTCGTCGCTGAGTTAGTTGACTTTGCTGCCGCTTGTCGTCTCGACTACGCCGCTAGCCTAGTTGCTGAGTCTGAGTCTGAGTCTGTCTGTCCTCCGTCCGTCGGGGGTGAGTGTGCTCTTGGCACGGACGTCCTTGAGGACAGGCAGGAGGAGTTCCAGTGCTTTGCTGCTGCTTTACCTCATCTCGTGTCCATGCTAGTTGCCCCTGAGGGAGACCCGGATGCACCAGACATCCCGACCCCGCGCTCTTACACAGAGGCGATAGCGGGTCCCTACTCCTCTCAGTGGCAGACAGCCATGGACGCAGAGATGGCTTCCTGGAAGTCCACAGGCACCTACGTCGACGCTGTTCCCCCACCAGGGGCGAACATCGTCAGTGGCATGTGGATTTTCAGGGTGAAGCGGCCGCCGGGTTCTCCGCCTGTCTTCAAGGCGCGTTACGTTGCTCGAGGCTTCAGCCAGCGTGAGGGAGTCGACTTCTTCCAGACCTTCTCCCCCACCCCGAAGATGACCACTCTTCGGGTGCTCCTGCACATAGCCGCTCAGCGTGACTACGAGCTTCACTCTCTTGACTTCAGCACTGCTTTCTTGCAGGGTAGTCTGCACGAGGAGATCTGGCTGCGCCGCCCTCCTGGCTTCACTGGGTTGGTTCCTCCTGGTACCCAGTGGAGCCTCCGCCGGCCGGTCTACGGTCTCCGTCAGGCACCACGTGAGTGGCACGACACACTGAGGACGACACTTGCGGCACTTGGGTTCGCGCCTTCTACTGCTGACCCGTCGCTGTTTCTGCGCACAGACACTTCGTTGCCGCCGTTCTACATCCTCGTGTACGTCGACGACTTGGTCTTTGCCACTGCTGACACTCAGGCTCTCGCCCACGTGAAGTCGGAGCTGCAGAAGAGACACACGTGCACAGACCTGGGTGAACTGACAAGCTACCTTGGCTTGCGGATCACCCAGGACAGAGCACGGCGCACCATTACCTTGACTCAGTCACATATGGTGCAGCAGGTCCTTCAGCGCTTCGGCTTCACGTACTCCTCGCCTCAGTCCACTCCTCTGCCTACCGGTCACTCGCTCTCAGCTCTGCCTTCGGATGAGTCCGTAGAGCCGAGTGGCCCGTATCCAGAGCTTGTGGGCTGTCTCATGTACCTGATGACCTGCACTCGTCCTGACCTTGCATACCCTCTTAGCATCCTTGCACGCTATGTCGCTCCTGGCCGTCACCGGAAGGAGCACATGGATGCTGCTAAGAGGGTGTTGCGCTACTTGTGCAGTACGTCGGGCATGGGGCTAGTGCTTGGAGGGCGAGACCGAGTTGTTCTCACTGGACACTCAGACGCTTCTTGGGCGGACGACCAGGCCACTCAGCGGTCGTCTCAGGGTTACACCTTCAGCCTTGGCTCCGGTTCAGTTTCTTGGCGTTCTACACGTTCTTCTTCAGTTCTCAGCTCCAGTTGTGAGGCTGAGATCTACGCCACAGCCATGGCGGCCCAGGAGCTACGCTGGCTCACCTACCTGCTGACCGACTTGGGAGAGCGGCCTCGTTCTCCTCCAGTGCTGTACGTCGACAACAAGGCTGCCATTGCCTTGTGTGAGGAGCACAGACTGGAGCACAGAACGAAGCACATCGCTCTGCGGTACTTTCTGGCTCGTGAGCTGCAGCAGCGTGGTCAGCTTTGTCTGCGTTACGTGGCCACTCAGGCCAACACTGCTGACGTGTTCACCAAGGCGCTTCAGCCTTGTGACCATCAGCGCTTCTGTACTCTTCTAGGCCTTGTGCCTATGGGACCTCACTTGCTTACTTCTTGACTTTGTTTGTACTGTGATCTCTATATATATACCTGCATGCTTTCACTTGCTAGGTTGTGATCACTGTACCTCTTGTTATATTATGAAACTGCATGTGAACTGGTCTTGTGACCACTTGCTTGTGCTCGGAATTTGTGTGGTATCCTTGAGATCCACCCTGAGCTTGTTTTGCCTTGCTTTGCTTTGACTGGTCTTGTGACCCTCTGGTTGTCCCCCACTTCGCCTATGGGGGTGTGTCAAACATTGTATGTTTATGTTGTGTAGGCTATAGTGGGTTTAGCCTTAGAGGGTACACAAACTTAGGGTTTCCTACTTGTACCCAACTTCCTGCTAGTTCATTCATTCTCGTTCTATTCTAAGATTCTAACATAGGTGTGTGTGAGGGGCAAGGATTGGTGAGGTGAGATGAGGCCCTCGTGCCACAACACCCACCCACTCCCCTTCACTGCGCTGCCAGCCAACTTCTTGGGTGCGGCGGTGTGGCAATGGCAGGTTTCTGTACGGCGAGCAGGCGCGGTTTTTCGAGGATGAGATCCGGCCGGGGCTGAAGCACGACAAGGTGGGGGTGGTCGCCATGGCCAGCGGAGACACCAACCTCAACGCCTCTCAGGTAATTCTCACCGCCTCTCAGGTAGTTTTCTTCACGGCCTCTCAGATGATTGTCACCGCCTTTCAGGTGAGGTGTTCTTTTCATATCTTTGTTGGTTCATGCAGGCCACATGTTCTCCATCTCCCTCCACCCACCACCACCACTCACCACGTCATACAAACTCGCTCTCCCGTATGCACAGGCACAATTGTAGGCACTGTGCTCAACTCTATTTGCAGCACAGGGTTGGTGCAATTTCTGTCTTGCCTCATCCTTGCATTTCCCCCGCCCTCCCCTTCCATCTTCCCCTCCCGCTCTCCCTCCCCCACCCTTCCCTCCCCTGCTGCCCTGCCGTGCTGCCCTGCCGTGCTGCCGTGCCGTGCCACCTGCTCTAGTTCTACATCACCACACGGGCTGGGCTGGACTCACTGGATGGCAAGCACACCGTGAGTTCCATTCCATGTGCTTCTCATTCTCTCTCTTCTCTCCTCCTTGCCCACCACTCGTTGCTCACATGCATCGCACCGCATCCATGGCACCGCATCCATGGCCTCTCTGCACGGTGTGCGTGGCGGGCATGACACCGCATTCTTGTGCAGCTCAGCCACGCCACATCTAACCACATTCATGCACCACACATCTTCTTCGTCTCTCGTGCATGCGG